GACACAACGTCGGACCGAGCTGAGGCTCGAACCCCCGAACTCGCAATCTCACGATTACGAGTCCGGTGGCCTTACCACTAGGCTACCGACGCCACTAGTGTTTCATAGCTGAGCCAACAAAAACACTGCGCTACCTTAGAATTACACATTTCCATCTGATATTTTTGGCCATTTTGAGTTGCTAAGACCATGAGATCAGAAAGCAAATTGATGCTCTATCTGCTATATCAAAATCGTAATATTATTATTCGAAGTTGTTATCAAGAATAGATACTCAAAGAATTCCGTTTGAAAAAAACTTGATATAGTCTGAAACTCAAGACTAGGTACTGCGCAGATAGAACTTTGCAATACTAGGGTAGCGACTTGTCTTTTCCTCTGTTTTCCTGTTAGAGGTTTGAAGTTTGTGCTTCCGTTGTAGACAACCCCCCCCCCCCCCCCCCAAAAAAAAAGAAAAGAAAAAAAGAACCCAAAAAAAACAACCGTGCACCATTCCTGCTAAACACATCCACCATTCTCCTTCAAAACACATTCACCATTCACCATCAAAATACATTCACACGCCATTTCCCGTCAGAACACGTGTACTATTTCCGATCAAAACGCATAGCACCAATAGCAACCTCCTTCAGAGGTTGTTCTTCGGACTAGTTGATTGGACTGCATCAGTCAATATCGGCTGTTCCTCGTCCTTGGTCTTCCCCTGCAAATGTTTCTTGGTGAACTCCCATGTGACCAGGACAGCCAACATGTGACTCACAGCGTTGGTGGTGGTACGTAAACGATCTCTGAAAATACAACCAGGCATTATAGATACAGAAAACAATTAGTCGTGGGAAAATGGTGCAAATACTTTACATCCTCCACAGATACAATTTGGATTGTTTACGGTATTGTTTTCTTAACTCCATCCCCAACAAACCCCGTGTGGATGCTTAAGAGTTTCCAAGAACTTCTAACGTTTCGAGACATCATGTGGACTCCAATTATACTAGTATGCAGAATAGCATTGCCGAGTGGACAGGGAAGAGCCCTTGCCCATGACCGTCAGAGCTGGAGACAGCTGATGCAGCGTTCAGCTATGCAGCGCCCCCATGACCCTGGGAAGGGTTAAAGGACTCGTGAACGTGTTGCATAACAGCACTTCACAAAAGACTAAGTTGAAAAGTGCATGCATTTCTAGGAGCACGGCGTGCAAGAGTACATATTCATTTCACTCCCATGATAAGAACGTTGCATTGGCTTCCCGTGTCAGCTAGAATGTCATATAAAATTGCAATATTATGTCATAAATGTGTCAATAACAAAGCTCCCTCATATCTTAGTGATCTCATCCAGATTTTTGCTCACCAAGATCAGGCAATCAGAATCTGTTAAGAATTCCCAGAAAAGGAGGTAAGAAATTAGCTGAAAGATCGTTTGCCCACCTTGCTCCATCAATTTGGAACTCTCTTCCCCAACCCTTGAGACATACAACATCTGAGTCTAAATTCAAAATATCTTTAAAGACACATATAAATGACATCATTATTATGTCAGTATGATTCATGTTCAGTACAATGTTATGTAAATGACTATGTATCCATTTATGTATTTTGCGAATTGCATTGTGTAGGCCTGTATTATTTTATTATGTATGTGTATGTGCTCATTTCGTTACGATGTGTAAGCGTGCGCGTGTGATAAGCTAGTGTGTATGTGTGTGTGTGTGTGTGTGTGTGTGTTTGGCGTGTATGTGTGTGCACATGTGTGCGTGTAATGTGTGTGTGTGTGTGTGTGTGTGTTTATGTGTGTATGTGTGTGTGTTAGTGTGTGTGTGTGTGTGTGTGTGTGTGTGTGTGTGTGTCACGTGCATGGATATTGTCCGTACATGCATATGTAAAGCGCCTGGAGCTGTGTTTACACGGGAGTGGGCGCTATAGAATTAATTATCTTCATCATTATTATTATTATACCAGTGGTTCTTAACCTTCTTGAGGGTGCTGGGCCCCGCAAGTGTCAAATCATACGTTTTTCTTGACCTCTGCCGAACCCTTGAGACTAACAGACTCGCCGAACCCCTGAGAATGAATCACCGTACCCCTGAGGTTTGATCGAACCCAGGTTAAGAACCACTGACATTCACGGTAGACAATTTGGCACAGCCAGCCAGCCAGCCAGCCAGCCAGCCAGACAGACAGACAGACAGACGGACAGACGACAGACAGACGGACATACATACATACATACCAGGGGCGGCTCGTGGGTCTAAAAAGTGGGCATGCACAATTTATTAAGCTATCTTAGGCTGAAGATAATCAAGGGCAGAGTAAATGGGATTGTGTATAATTTTAGGATCTTTGGGTTGGTGAAGGAAGACCTTGTGCTTTTATTTTCATTATTTTTACATCCGACTTCTAGAACTAAATCTGTTCGTTAGATAAACGTCAATTTAATTCATCCTGCATTAGAATAGAACACTCAAGTAATACATTTCACCACTCCACTACAAAACCGTTCAAAAGCACAACTCATATGACGGCGACTTAACTATGTCACGTTCACCTCCCTCAGGTTCACGGTCACAGAGTCACTTAAAATAGCGACAAGACAATGAACCAATCACAATTCACTTGAGCACTCCGCTGAATTGCTACGGGGCCCACATAATTTTGGCATGAAAGAGTACACAGTCTATGGCGTTTATTTTTAGATTGCCTACTGTGGGCTATGTTTCGGCGCTATTCAGCAGGAGCACATTTTAGATGTGCCGTCTTATTAATATTAATGTACCGCCAAACTCTCTACAAGTGTCGTCATCGCTTGGGTTATCCCAAAGAGTGATTTATAGGTCAGGTTTCCACTGTTGACTATCCTGTTATGTTTAGATACAGCGCATGAACTTAGGCATGGCATAGTAGATGTTTTTCTGCACTATAGAATAGAAATGACAGTTACGGCGCCAGTGAGGTCCTTGTTTTGATATAATATTTGGCTAGTGTTTTTTTCTGGGGTCTTCTATTTTTATTATTGTGGGTGCTTTACGTCATAGAACATTAAAACATTTTGGGCGGCACTGCACGACCGTGCTCTATGGAAGAACCGCGCCTGATACAGACAGACAGACAGACAGACAGACAGACAGACAGACAGACAGACAGACAGACAGACAGACAGACAGACAGACACATCCAGTTTCTTCATGAACTGCATTTTAATAATAATATAGAAACCTAGCGATTTTGCTTACGTCATCCACTCTACAGCCAAAATGAGGCCAATATTGACAGGGGGAATCCCCAGAGAGCCCAGGATCAACAAGACGGCGACGACACTGGCGCTAGGGACGCTCGGGATGGCCAGGGAAGACAGGATTGACAGCAGGCTGAAATACCATACAAACATACACTCAAACAAACAAACAAACTGATATGCAGGTTGACATTTCTTTTCGCTTCCAATGGTGCATCTTCCTCGCTTTACTTTGGGTGAGATCTGTAAGACTAATGACAAAATTAAACTCAAGCCACCTACTTCGAACTACTTGGCCTAGTGCGCACCCCCCCCCCCTACTATTGTGAAAATGTCATGGACTGTATAGCTGTAATTGCCAGGTGAAAAGATTATGTGTCATGTTTGAAGTGTCTTTTCGTCAATTCGTTATTGCAATAGTTTTTCCTGTTCTATACTTGTTTCTGACCGAATGTGTGATAGGAACTGAATAAAGCCTTCTATTCAGAATTTGGACAATCCGACTTTCTTGAAATTGTCAATTTACTAGAATTCGTCTGATATTTAGAATTATTGGGACGCACATTAAGTTAATAGTAAGATTTTACATTGTATCATATTATTGAATTTGGAGGTGCCTAAAACGCATACTTTTATAATTTAGTAACAACAACTCATTGGCTTGTATTGCAATATCATAAACATTGCACTCAAACATAATTCAGGTTCCCCATATGACCTGCATCATGTGACTCCATTTGAGCAAAAAGACGAGCAAGGGGGAAAGGTGCTGCGCGCACGTGACTGCAGCAAGATTGGTGTCTCGCCTTTTTTTTGGGACATAATGGCACGGCCTGTGGTATGCACGCTTAGCAACAAAATATTTTTAAAAAAGACTGCAAAGAGCGGTGGCCATGGCATTCAACAATATATGAGAATATATGTATGCATAAACTAAACTCCCATCCCAGACTTTACAAACCATGAGACATATCGAATACAATTTAAATGTACTTGTGTTCTCAGGAGGTGTCAACCACACACAGTGAGCAATAAAAGGACAATAACAAATATTAACTATGACCAAGTCTCCTTATTATGTTTTTCCTCCTGCACAGCAACAACGACGACGACGGCGATGATGATGATGATGATGATGATGATGATGATGATGATGATGATGATGATGCCCCCCCCCCCCCCACACACACACTTACCCAGTGAGTAGACACAGAGAAGCGGTCAGCTCTGTCCCAGCAAACTGTGCCACAAACAGACAGGTGGTCACGATAAAGCAACAACTGCCGTCTCTGTTGAGGGTCGTACAAAAAGGAAGGACGAAGCCAGGCACGCGAGGGTCGACCTTGTACTTGTGTATGGCAATCTCCATTATCTCAGGATAGACAATCAGTCTGAACAAAAAAAAAGAACAGAAAAAAAGAGAAAATCTTGTGAAAAAAATAGCAACCTTCACTACATTTACTGAAATTCAAAAGACTCGATAGAAAGAAATGTCAGCCTGTTAAGTATAATAATATGTTAGAAAAGAACATAAAAAAGAGAATCACTCAATTTCAACAGACTAAAATGAGTTACCAAGAAAACTCAGCTAGTTTAAACTGCAAAAAACATCTCTACGAGCAATACTTTACAACAATCACGCAGCAAGACAGAGATACCCAAATGAAACATCCTCCTCTAAATCGGGTCTCTGGCGTGCGACAGCGGGGTGCCTAATAGGGGGTGCCCATTAGCACGATCGGGTCGGGTCGTGTCGTCGGGTCGTCGGGTTGGGTCCTTGTTAGGTGGTTTCAGTGCACACTACAACCCCGCCGCGATTGTACCCGAAGACCTGGAAGTTAAAGTAGAGAAACCTTTAACCTCAATGGCTTCCAGGGCTCTTTTCCGCAGTTCACTATCGCAGTGCTGAATCAGCCTGGAATCCCATAAACATGGGTTAGATCTATATCGATAGCTTTCTATTATCAAAGATCGTTCACAACAAGATAGTTCACTTGACCAAAAAGTGTCCGCGCCGCGGAAGTCCGCGCATTGGTTCAGGTGGAGCTGCTGTCTTTGTTTTGAAGCTCTCTTTCGTTTCTCCAGAAGAAGAATAGGAATGGCAGTTTGTTAGTTCGGTTTCATTGTTTTTCTTACTAGTAACGTAACTCTGTCCGCAAAGTCCGCACTTTTTCGAAGAGGGCGCCACACGTGACTCAGCCTTGTTTTGATTGGCTACAAACCACCCGATCGCGCCACTCGCAGGCCTGAAAACAAACGTGTTTGTTTTTGCAGGTCAACGATTGAGTCGATCGGTTTGTGCCACGATGGCCGCTTTGCGCCCCCAATTTGGCTAGCCCTGACTGTCAAATCGACCAGACCCGATCACGCTAGTGGGCACCCAATATAACAGCAACACCACAGAAATATGCTGGTCTGTACTGTTCAACACACTCACGAGCTGGGAGGGCCAACTGAGATGAGCCATGGTCTCGCCAGACTAAGCAGGAAGGTAATCGGGTTCCGTCTGATGAGCAGCAGATACAGGCCTGTCAGGAAAACCAACTGGTACACCAGGCCACCCACCATTGTTGCCAGTAGAAATAGTCCCATAGAGGTGAACCCTTCCGCCAGGTCGTCTATACTGATCAGGGCTCTGGCGATCAGGCTCGCCACGCCTACTGGACTGGACCTGAGAGATTGGTAGGAGATTTGATGAACATGAGATATTGGTGGTAGATTGTAAATTATAAACGTTTAACTGGATCTTAGAGATTGGTGTAAGATTGTAAGTTCTTTAAGGGACGTAGGAGATAAGTGGTAAATCTTTCAAGGAAAATGAGGTCGCCAAGTGCCAAGTCAGTGTGCCAAGAACAGATAACTGTAATAATAATAATATAGTATAATGTGTTGGCTCATTCATCTTGACTTCATGTGGTAATAAATGTTCCTGGCGTAGTGTGGTAAATTGTAAATGTTTAACTGGATCCGAACGATCGGTAGGAAATTGTAAATTGTGCTTTACTGGATCTAAGAGATAATGAAGGCAGCATGCAGATTGCAAATTATGCTTCACTGGACCTGAGAGATTGCTGGTGGATTGAAAACCAGACCTGAGAAACTGGTGGGAAGTTGTAAATTACGTTTTACTGGACCTGGGAGACTAGATGTAGATTACACTTATCTGTTGTTAGTTTTTCTGCATATCTCTCTTCGTTCATTGTAACTATGTATGACCGCTATTTGTAAACAAAATCTTTTCATGCATACATTGTATTAATTTAGCGTGGAATTTCATTAATCTAAAATATTTTCATTTTTAATACAATTTGTGTTTGCTTTGTGTTCCATACGGTTGAATGCTTTTGAGCGTTGTACGTGAAGTAAAAGTAGTAGGTTGGTAGACATTGCTGTTGTTTTGTGGATTGTGGATACAACTTTGTAAACAAAAGTATACACTACTTCGCGGGTATCTTCCTGTATGGAAAAGATTTAAACTTTCATACTTAAGACTTTACAAACGATGGGACAAAGCCAATGCAATACTCATGTTCTCTGGAAGACAATGTGTCAATAACACACTCTGTGAGGAATAAAAGGACATTAAAAAAATACCAACTCTGGCGAAGTCTCCTTATTACGTTTTCCCTCCAGTACAGCAAAAACGACGACAACGATAACGACGACAATGATAACGACGACAACGACGACGATGATGATGCTGCTGCTGCTGATGATGATGATGACGATGATGAGGATGATGTCTGATTCTCTCTCTCTCTCTCTCTCTCTCTCTCTCTCTCTCTCCCTCTCTCTCTCTTTCTCTCTCTCTCACACCCACACACTCTCCCTCTCTCTCCCCTCTCTCTCTTTCTCTCTCTCTTTTTCTCCCTCTCTTTCTCTCTCTCTCTCTGCCACTTCTTGCCTGCATTGTGACTTGAGTGTATGCACTTTGGTTTCTTTAGCAACAGGTAGTGTAGTCGTTTACATTATTGAAAAACGTTCCTGACGATGCCAGGAGAGGGCCAAACGTTGAACGTATCATAAAATATTTTGGAAACCCTACCAAGTTTCAACCTTTTTGAATTCTCTGCTGTATACAATGATGGAAGGGTGCTCCGAAGCGGAAAGTCCGGGTTCTAGCCTCGGTTCGGTCCCGGATTTATTTCGCCCCCTCCTTCCCACCCAGCAGTAATGGGGTACCTGGCTTCGAGTTGGTGAAGTAAAGGCGGCGTGGAAAGGAACTGGCCACCCTACTACAATGTGCCGAAGGCCCAGGAAGTTGTCTCACTAACAAGGCAATCCCCAATGTCCGGACCGGATGCGGGAACAACTTTACTTTATAAACAATGATGATGATGATGCCTATACGAGGCCTATCGAGGCCTTTACGAACATCTGATTAAACGTGACCTACCCTATTCAAGAACCCTATTCAAGTCTCAAGTATATTGTTTTTCTACTTTAAAACATGATGATGATGATCATAAAGATGATGATGATGATGGTGATGATGATGATGATGATGATGATGATGATGAGCGTGTTTACCAACTGCTTCATCGCAATTATATTTACCACAGCGTTTGCCTGCTGACTTCCGCAGTTTTATAATGTAAAACCTTCTTTCGGTTTGCGGCTATACAACCAACGGTTGATGAGGTCGACACAGATGACCTTACCACTTGATCCAGTCAAAAAGCTTGAATATGACGGAGGCGCCGGCCCTGAAGAAAGCAACCATTGGCTCACTCTTCCTGCCCAACTGGGAAGCTGCAATACCAAGAGCTGCACAAATGATGATCAGACCTGGAACAAAAACAAGCTGTTATCATCATCATCATCATCATTATCATCATCATCATCATCATCATCACCATCATCATCATCATCATCATCATCATCATCATCATCATCATCATCATCATCATCATCATCATCATTTTTTAAAACTTCCTCTTCTTCTTCTCCCTTTTCTTCTACACCTCATCAACACTATTAAGTGTGTCCACTTCGCCTTGAAGAGTTTATTAATACCAAGCTTGACTTGAAGTTCAACGTGCGATTTGCAATGGCCTGATATCTGGGTATTCAAGACTTCACGGCAGGGGAAATTTTCAAGACTTTTAAAATTACTCTTTATATGTGAATAATAATTTTCTTAAAAAACCTCACTAAATTGGACTTTATCAAACAAATCAGAGAAAATTCTTTGGATTCTATATCAAAAGTGGATATTTTGTGAATAATTGCTCATATTAGGAGGTTACTGAGCACAATTTCTGTTTCATCTGCTGACGCTATTTTGTTGGTATGACCTGCTTTGACCAGAACAAATTGTGAGGCAACGTGGTGGAATCAGGCTCTCGTCAAAATAATCAAAATGAAGAGACTTGCTTTTTCTGTTGGTTTGTGAATTGTTATCAAATTTTTGTTTTTTGGCTCAACACCTTTCATGCCCATTAAATAACTCATTTCTGTGTGGATTTTTTCTGAAAAACGTTAATTAAAGGCCCCCCCCCCCCCCCCCCAAAATGTCAATTTTCAGTTACCACGAACTTTTAAGCTAAGGAAATAACTAATCTTTGGCGGTCATTTTCTCATTAAGTTTACCTCTGAAAACAGGTAACCCCGACCTCATTCATTCGCAAATATCTCGACTTGTATTCAAGATAAATGGATATTTTTGCATCCAAATAAACACAAGTGAACAAGCTTTACAATGATATCAATAACTCTACATGCTCAAAAATTGACGAGAGCCTGATTCCACCACGCTGCCTCACAATTGCTCCAGCTAATATAGCTACACAATGTGATAGCGTATGGCACATTCATCCTTTTCATTGACTCTTCTGCTATTTGAAGCAGGAACTTGGGTTATCCACTTGAGACTTTGGTTTGTATATAAATTAAACAGATTGAGGTAATAGCCGTAACAAAAGTAAACAAGGAGAAAAGATCGAAGGGGGAGGAATATGTGGGGCAGGAATAGGAGGATGAGGAGTGGGAGATGGAGAGGAGCGGAAGGAGGAGAGGAAGGAGGAGGAGAGTTGATCTGTGCAGTTGATGATGGTGATAACGATAATGATAATAATAATAGAAATGATATTATTATTATTATTATTATTATTATTATTATTATTATTATTATTATTATTATTATTATTATTATCATCATCATAATGAAAATAGTTATATGTATAATAATAATAATAATAATAATAATAATAATAATAATAATAATAATAATAATAATAATAATAATAATAATAATAATATAATAGTAACAACAACAACAACACTTCATTGCATTTATATAAAGCATATCCATACTCTACAACATGCTCTATGCGCCTTACGAGTTGTCTATTACTGATGGTAATACTACTGATACGTGAGCCCTTACCTCTTCTACCTGTACCTATTAAAAACTGTTTATTTGTGTACCAGAGGGTGTTTCTTTTGGCTCGCTTATCTCACAACAAACCAGACTCCCAGTCTCAGACGACTGGAAGTCGATTCCTGAATAGTATCTTTTAATCAAGTACTGAATATTCGTGTTCGCCTGCTGGGCTACTGTATCCCTACTCAGTAAGGGTAGACTCTGACAGGCAGGGTCGAAGCAGTCAAAATAATCCAAAAATGGGTCTGAAACATTTACAATGAAATACGCTCGCACATTGTCAATTAACCCCACCCCAAAAAAAACCCAAAAACAACAACAACAAACAAAAACAAACAAAAACAAACAAACAAAAGAAAAAAACAGTAACAAAAACACCCCACCCAGCAAATTTGTAGTGGACGTCATTCCCAGGGACTTGACCAGCACTGTGTCTGTGACGTTGGTCATCACTCCGGACACGTTGACCACAGACAGAGTTTCCACCTCTTTGTATTTTGTCTGGGACTGGGAGATGGCGGCACGAACGATGTTGGACGGGAACAGATTGCTGGGAGAGAGAAACAAAGAATGGTTTATTCATTCATTCATTCATTCATTCATTCATTCATTCATTCATTCATTCATTCATTCATTCATTCAAAAATTGTTCATTCACTGCACGTTGTTGGAAGAGAACGGCCGATTACTAAGAGAGAATGAGATTGGTTCATTCAGGCATTTATCCATTCGTACATTCATGATTCATGGTGTTGCTCGAGAGCAGATAACTGGAAGAGAAGGAGATTGGTTCATTCCTTCCTTCCTTCATTCAAGTTATTTACTCCTTCTTTCATTCGTTTCTTAACTCACAGCATGACGTTCGACAGGAACAGAAAGCACACACATGTTATACACTTAGTTTGTTCCTACTCCCATTGTAAAGTGTTCTCGCTTTCATCGACACAATTTTCTTCCTATAGGAGCTGGGCTGCTTCGACACTGGCTGTCAGGGCTAACTTAGTCTGATTAGATACAACATCGGTTGGGGTGTAAAACGTTCACAGCGATCATGATGATCATGTGGGTATTGGAGAAACAAGGAGGGGGGGGGGGGGGGTAGCTTTCTGAGTCTCTCTCAGTTTGTTTTCTTCTTTAACTGCCAGATCTGAAACGGACATAGGTGATCTTAGTTCTTCAGTCAATATTCTCGTTGGTTGCTCTTAAGATGCCCTACATCTATTGCTGAACTCATCTATTCAGGCCGGGTAAGTAAGTAATTTATTCTTAGATGACCTCTGCTGCAATTGCCGTCTGTTTTTCTTGTGAGGGTTTGTCACCTACCGAATGAAATCCGCGACAATGTCGACAGTCTGAAGATTCCTCGTGTCAACTTTGGTACTGGTATCTCGAGACGAAATTGTTCCTGGCGATGACACCATAGTTAAAGTCAACACTATGTCTACAGCTCTGTTACATACAAAAAAGTTACGTGCAGGGGAAAGAAAGACAGATAGACAGAAATTGAAAAACAACACAAAATGGTCACTTTGTACGTTTAAAAAGCAGGACAAATAGACAGAAACAATCATTTGGGGAGAGATGAACACACTTTGGTTTGGGAGGGGGGAGTTGAGGAAGAAGCAGATGACAGAATAGGACTAGAGAAGAAGAAGAAAGGAGCCCGTCTTGGAGGTTTCCGAGGGTACATAAGAACAAGTAGATTAATAATGACAATTATGATAATGATGATGGTAATAATGATAATAATCTTGTTATAATCCTATCTTATTATAATGGAGATAAGCCCGTTTGTCATCATCATCATTGCCTTTCTCACCCTGGGTCAGGATATAGGCCACGAACAAACACTCTCCACCTTTCCCTATCCTGGGCTAGTCGCTTGATGTCACTCCACGTCTTCCCACTTTTCCGAACATCCATTTCCATGACTCTTCTCCAGGTTCCACGAGGTCTTCCCCTTGATCTTTTACGTTGTGGGTTCCAATCTAACACTTTTCTTGTTATGCAGCTGCTTGGCTTCCTGAGAGGGTGTCCAATCCATCGCCAACGTCTTCTTCCCACCTCATCTTTGGCTGGGCTCCGTCTGGTTCTTCTTAATACTTCCTCGTTGGTGATCCTGTCTGTCCATTTGATCCTCAGTAGCTTCCTCCGACACTTGTTTAAGAAAACCTGGATCCTCTTTATGCACGTATGGGATGCGTTCCACGTCTCACATCCATACAACAAGACTGACTTCACATTTGAGTTGGAAACTCTAAGCTTTGTTCGTAATGAGATGTCCCTGGTCCTCCAAATCCTGTTCAAAGAAATAAACGCAGTCTGTGCCTTTCCAATGCGGGACTTTATTTCAGCGCCTGATCCCCCCTCTCCGTCAATTATACTCCCAAGATAGCAGAAGGATACGACGTCTTCTAGTGCATTTCCTTGTACTGTGACCTGCTCCTTTCGAAGTGCATCTATCCTTAGAACTTTCGACTTTCCGGGGTGGATCCTCAATCCAACAGACTCTGATAGGCTGTTTAAAATTGCCGTCTTTGCTTGCATCTGTTCCTGTGTGTGTAACAGAAGCGCCAAGTCATCTGCAAAGTCCAGATCGTCCAACTGTTTCCATGGGGTCCACTGTATACCGTTTCTGTGTCCTCTGGTGGTTTCCTTCATCAGCCAGTCGACTGCCAATATGAAGAGGAACGATGATAATAAACATCCCTGTCTCACACTAGTCTTGATGTCAAAGTTGTCAGTGAGCTGGCCTTCATGTACAACCCTGCAACTTGCCTCTTCGTACATGCTCTTGATGAGGTTCACCAACTTCTGTGGGATTCCGTGGTGTCTCAGTATCTTCCATAGTGTTGCTCGGTCTATACGGTCAAAAGCCTTCTCATAGTCAAGGAAGTTGACGATCAGCTGGGAGTTCCACTCCAGGGACTGTTCCACAACAATCCTCAGCGTGGCAATCTGGTCGGTGGTGGAGCGATTTTTCCGGAAGCCTGCCTGTTCATCCCGTAGTCTTGGATCCGTTGCTGTCTTTATTCTCTCCAGAATGATTCTGTTGAAGACTTTAGCTGGTATTGAGAGAAGAGTGATCCCTCTGTAGTTGCTGCAGTTGCTGAGATCCCCCTTTTTTGGAAGCTTCACGAGGTGTCCTTTTTTCCAATCCTTTGGGAACTTGCTCTCTTTCCAGATCCTGGCAAACAGTGGGAGGAGGATGTCTGCCGTCACATTGGCATCTGCTTTTAGGGCTTCATGTGGAATCTGGTCAGGACCCGCCGCTTTACCTTTGTTCAGTTTCTTAATGGCATCCAGAATCTCTTGTTTTGAAGGAGCATCACAGCAGATTGGTAACTCATTTCTTGCTGGCAGTATGTTTGGTGGTTTTGTGGGGTCAGTAAAAACGTTTTACACAGGTGCCCATAAAATCTACAAAAATATGATTCAGACAAGAATTGCCCCAAATGTTTACGTGGGTATATTTTCAAACCCCGGAAACTACTTTTTGATTGTTCAGGTTTAATGGATTTTTGTGTAAATCGAAGCTCTCGGATGTTTTCACTCTACCTTTAGCCATTTCATATTTTACTGGGGACTACGTCTGTTTCGATCCCAAGCTTTGTTGTGCGTGTGAGTAGTTCGCAAGAAAAGAAGTGCAGTTTCTGCTTTGTCGTGTGTGTGCCACTGAGTTCTACTTTTTTGAAGTAGTTAACACGGACACAAGTGCGGTTTGTGTTTTGTCGCGTGTGTGCGCGACAGTAGTTAGCAAGAACAGAAGTGCCGTTTGTGTTTTGTCGTGTGTGTATGCCACATAGTTCTATTTCGGCTCCTTCTATTGGCCAATGGAATATTAGTTAATAAAATTAATAAGGTAGTAGGATGCCCCTTAAATGTAGAGTTTGTTTAACCCCACGAAACAGAGATGAAAGCGAGAGGAAATGGAGAAAGGCCACTTTCAAACAGAATTTACGCTCTAAAAGTCAGAATAGCGTGCTAGGCCAAGAAAGAATGGGCCAACGTTGGCCATAGCGTGCAACACACAGTCGTTTAGTGAAACTGAAGTTGACCGAAGATTACGGACACATGACTGTGGTGAATTCAGTGTCGCCTGTGATCATTGCAATGTCATAAGATGGAGAGAAGATAAAAATACATTCTGCTGTCAAAATGGAAAGGTTAGTATACCTGTATCTCCCCCACCTTCTCGGGATTTAATAAAGTATTACGATGTAGCACAGAGCGGCAGCTCTTTCTTACCACACTGTAGGTCATACAATAATGCTCTCCCCCTTGCTTCAATTGGATGCAGTGAACAAGCAGAAAAGGGCTTCAATCCAACCTTCAAAATCCAGGGCAAGCCGTACCACCGATTAGGAAATCTTCTTCCCACTGCTGGAACTGAACCAAAGTTTGCACAGATTTTTTTCATGACTCTGCCACAGAACTTCATGATAGGCTGAGACTGTCACATATTTTACGGCCAGACATTTTGAATGAACTTCAACCTGAGAGAGAAGGTGAGTCAAGAGTTCCCAAAGCTTAAAGAAGAACAAAGAGTCGTGTATGGTGCTGTGATAGAGTCAGTTGTACAGAAGCAAAGCAAGATATTTGCCCTGGAGGCAAGTGGAGGGACTGGTGAAAACCCACACTATAAACCTGATTCTTGCGCTGTCCGTTCCTTTAAGAAGATCACCCTTGCTACAGCTCTGTCAGGCATTGCAGCAACTCTGCTCTCAAAAGGCAAAACATTACACAGCAGATGCAAAATACCCGTTAGTGTGAACAAACAGTCCATGTGCAGTGTGAGTCTCCAAGATGCCAGTTGCACTTTATCACGCCAAACAGAGCTGCTCATCATTGATGAAGTATCAATGGGCCACCAACACATCTTTGAAGCCATAGACCGAACACTTCAAGACATAATATGTGGGAATAACTCTCTGTTCGGTGGGCTAAATGTGCTGATGTCAGGTAACTGGCGCCAAGTACTACCAGTAGTTCGCCATGGCTCAAGATCACAGATAGTCAATGCAACGCTGAAATCATCATATCTGTGGGAGCATGTTAATGTGCTCAGACTGACAAGAAACATGAGGGTTTCGCTTATAGGTGAGACTGCTTGTTTCTCCAACTATCTACTGAACATTGGAGATGGCAAACACAATGTATGCAAGCAAATCTGGGAGTTTGCGATAAAACTGCCAGATGACATCACAATAAAGAGCGAACAAGAGTTGATAAATTTTGTCTTCGGTAATTTGCAGTCTAACACAAATCCTGATTGGCTGGGTTCCCGCTCAATCATCTGTCCCACCAACACAGAAGTAGACAGAATCAACCACCTGATCATGCAGTCCTTTCTCGGAGAAGAAAAAATCTGCAGGGACAGTGATTCGGTGGAAGAAAATGAACACCAAAACCCCATCAAATTTATTAATTCTCTATGTCCGACAGGTATGCCACTCCACAAACTGACATTGCGGAAAGATAGCATTGTCATGTTGCTGAGAAATCAGGATCCCTCAAACGGCCACTGCAAGGGGGCTAGATATGGGGTTCAACATCTTCATCAACATGTAATTGATGCTGTCGTTGCTTGCGGTCCACATGCCGGAAAGAAACTTTTCATCCCAATAATTCCCCTCATGCCTTCAGACAACATATTATTTCCCTTCCATATGCGACGGAAACAATTTCGGTTAGACCTGCTTTTGCAATGACTGCCAACAAAGCTCAGAGACAGACTTTGAATAGGATAGTGGTTTCTTTACAGGGCGATTTATTTCCCATGGACAATTGTATGTCGCAAAGAGTCGTGTTGGGTCCAGGGAATCTATTAGGATACATGCAAACAGACCTGCTGCCCAGGAGTTCCAGATGGCGCATTAAACCAGCAATGTTGTCTACACAGAGGTCCTACGGCAATGAATCAGGTACCGGTACAAATATTTTATCTTGGGCCTTCCTATCACTATATCACCGTTCGTAGAACGGGTCTGTGTCTAGTAATAATAATAATAATAATAAAAATAATAATAATAATAATAATAATAATAATAATAATAATAATAATAATAATAAAAATAATAATAATAATAATAATAATAATAATAATAATAATAATAATAATAATAATAATAATAATAATAATAGTAGTAATAATAATATAGTTTTTTCAGTTCAAATATACACCTAACAAATTCAAAGACCGCATAGAAAGACCAAATTACACCTAGCAAATCCAAATATACAAATGACGTCATAAAAAGTCCTAATACAACAATAGCAAGTTTAAATGTAAACCAAGGACTACTATACTCATATAATATAGTAGTCCTTGATGTAAACATAAAAATCTCAAATGTAACACATAGCAAATTCAAATGCCACATAGCAAGTTCAAATGTAAATATGCTTGAACTGGATTAAAAGGAGCCTAAGTGGGTGGTTGACGGGTGCTCTGGTGTGGTTTGCTCCTTCTTTCCTATCTAACATCTATCATCCTAATCTCTTCTCCTTCTTTTCTGTGTCTGTTACTATCTTGTAACACCTCTAATCTTCGGCACTTATATGACCTTACTGTGTTGCAATTGCCGCAAAACTCTTACTAAAACTAAAAAGGAGGCTAAAAGTATAAGGAGTATATCAAGGTAAGAAGTAAAAGGGTTTGGGTTTTTTCGGCCACGAAAAAGTTCGACGTAAGCCGTGTGGTGCCACAAGGAAGGAATCGTGTGAAACGAAAGTAATAGTTAAATTATGTTAAAAGCCGACAATAAACTCAGATGTTTAACAGAAGAAACGAACGGTTGTGATACAAATCAACATATTGCTTGCATATTATAGAACTAACTGAGTGAAATCTAAAGCCAAGTTCACTTTTATTTACTTATTGTTGCACTACAAAACGCTATGGCTTATAGGCTTGCATTGATCTGAAGGCTCTGCTGTCATTTTCATTATAGTCACAGCTTGTGTTTTTTGCTCCATCATCTGGGCAAGTGTGACCATCCTTTGTTAATGAGTCTGCTGAGTGAGCATTTATTGGTCTTTTGCTTCACCGAACTACGGTTTCAAATCGTATTTCCAAATTCACAAGCGTTCTCGAAGATGTTAAGAAAAGGTGTGTAAGGGGGGG